CCCCAAAACCCCAAAACCCCAAAACCCCATAGGATATTTTATTAGGATATAGGGAATAATCTAAAATTAATTTGAATTTTGCTAAGTGATTAAAACAACGTGTCTTTTTCCAAACATATTCACTTTTTCTTAAGGTTATCTGAAGAGAATATTGAGAGACTGTTTCTTAAGAGAGACTCCATAATACCAGCAACAACAAACATTCCTCCAATAATGGCGCAAATTTCAATGAAGAACTCACTCCATGTCTTATAACTCATTGTGTATCTTAGCTTGACTGGACTTAGCTCATATCTAAAGAAAATTGCAGGGAGACCCATTTGAGACATGATTGATTGAGAGCTCTTATATTTGTAACCCTCAAGGACACTAGACCAAAATCCAGTTACATCTAAGAAGTCAATTTGATTGATATCTAAGTAATAATTCGCAAGAAGCTACCCATTATAGATTTATTATTCCTAGTTGATAGATGTGCCATCGAGATCGAAAGTGTATTTCTCCTCGTACTTTTGCATAATATTGGCCATGTCAGTGTCGTTTCCAAATGATAAATGCTGGATAGTGTGACTAAAGTCTAATCTTCTGCCTTGCATGTAGAGTCTTTGAACAACCTCACCAAAAGCATGTGTGGAGAGATGGAAGTTACCAGGCACCTTATTAATGATTACTGTTCCCTCGACTAAACACCCTTCTTCATTGTTCATTGACTCAATAGCTTCATTCACAATATCATTAACATCCTAGCTAGTTTACTTGAATTCATGAGAGTCTTCCATCTAATAAATGATTAAGGATAATAAAATTTTTTACTGTATCGTGATGTTCTACATAAATTCCTTCTCTAAAGTAAATTTAGTTAAAAGAGAAATAGATCTTACTTATCAATAATATGCTTGTGCAACTTTCCACCAACATCCATCACATGGACACCTGTAACATCAACAATATCTAAACTTAAAACATGGCAAGGAGCTTTGTGCATTCTGATTGCTAAGTTGATGTTCAACTGTAAAGTGAAATTAGACAAGAGTTAATGTTTTGTACCTTGCTGTTGCCTTGATTGACATCAATCATGATCTCACTAGTCTTTTGGTATTACATGAATTAGTAAGTCTGAGATATGAACAGAGCTACCATAAGTCCCATTACAAACATTGAGACTAAAGTTTATTAGGATTATTTGAACTTACCAGTTGCACCAGAAACTGAAGGCTCAGCTAAATCTTAAGGCAAATCTTTGTAAAAATCGAAAAATTTTATCCTCTCAGCTAGACTTGTGCTTTTATCTTTCTTCATTTCTACTCTCTATTAATTATATCTAATTATTATGTCATACTTATTGATCTTGTTTATCCTCTGCGGGGTTTTGGGGTTTTGGGG